CCTGGAGATCATCTTGGCCAACCTTGTGTTTAAAGCAGGGCCTTAGATTTGGTTATCCACGGCCCTGCCAAGCCATGTCTTGAATACCTACATCCAGGCAGATTCCACTGCTTCTCTAGGCAGCTTATCCCAGTGTTCAAGTAGTCTCACAGTGAAGAAATTGTTTCTAAAATCCAGATAGAAATACCCTGAAACAACTGGTGCTTCCTGCCCCTTGTTCTATCTCCATGCATCCTTGTGAAGAGAATGACTGCCTCCATCTTCTCTCTCCTTTAGGAGTGTTATGGAAAATCTGGTTAACAGGAGTTTTGCTTAAGGAAAAGGCGATAAAAAAGACCGCTTGCTTCATGAAGTCTATTGCATTTAAGCTGCTTGTAACATTCAGGACTCACAGCGGTGAAAGCTCAGTAGTACACCATCATCACAGATACGGAAGGATTGATGGTCTTTCCAAGCAGAAATTGTTGGAGGTAACTTATGCTTCCTCACACAAATTTATTACATTTACTGTGGAAAAATCAATGAAATATTTTTATAATAATTAGATCAAATTATGCAGATACAGAACTTCCTGATTACAGAATGGAGAGATGACCTTTCAAAAATAAGTGTCTGTTGGCTTTTATTCCCTTCTATGGCTTTTTTTTTTCCTTCCATGAATAGCAACATTTTTGCCTCAGTTTTTCCCTCAAGTATGCTAAGCTACACAAAAACATCCAAATGAAACTATATGAAGGTTTCAGGAAGGTTTGCTTCTTGTCTTCTAACAGGTCTTTATCTTTCCTTAACAGCAACAACCACATACTGATTCGAGCAGCCACTCTCTGCACATACTTGAAATTCCCTGGACTACAGGAAGTCCCCAAAGCTTGCCTTCCAGGAGCTGCACAATATGAGCTTTTCTATCACAGACAGGAGGAAACACTACCACCAGCTCCCTTGACTACTGGGTTTTGTTCATTGTTGAGCCACAGGAGATCATGTTTGCTCCAACTGGGGGAAGGTCAGTGGCACTCGTCAGTATGCTGCTCCTGCCACCGATTACTTCTACCATCCAAAAGGTGTGCCTTTCCCCCAGCCTGGATGGGTCTTGCTCTACCTTTCATGCACTGAATCTGGAGCTTTTATGGAAGAAACCTTTATTATTAAAAAGTATTTTACTCTAACAGCCATTTATATACCCTGATCAAGTCAACTCTTAACCTTCTCTTGGATTAATTAATTACACTGAGACCACTGAATCTCACTAAAAAAAAGTTAGTGAGACTAAGAAGTCTCCAGACCTCAGGTTTTGTAGTGCTTTTCTCAATATCCTTTCAATGGATAGACATGAAAATTACTAGATTTTCTACACAGATTTGCTCATTACTTCCAGAAATAAACCCATAAACTTACTTCTCTTTTGACAAATTTGAAACTCAGTTCAACTCTTGCTTTTGTAAAAGCATAACAAAACAGATAGTGAATTATATCGAACCAACAAGAAAAGTGACAGAATGGAATCTATCTGATGCATATCGCCCATGCTACTTGTTATATTACAGTAAAATGAAACAAAACCGAAACAGGCAACATGAACTTCTTCATGGACTTGAGCCATAATAAATTTGATTTCTATATCCATATTTTCTCATATATTACACAGAGTTGATTTGAATCAATAGTTAATCAGGAGACAAGAAACAATTAGATGCTGCAGGAAAGTGATTAAACACAGAATTTAATCCCCATTATCCATATCAATATAAATTAATTTCCTGACATAATGCTACTCTTTGTTATTTCTCCTGTTATTAATGACAACTTTAGTTTTAGATGAGCTAGGAATCCAAATCCCTAACCTCTTCTCATGAAAGAGCCAAAGATAGGCAGGGCAATAAAGAATATGTCCCCTTCAGACAGATTTCAATGCTGGATTTTATTTTCTGCTGCCTAAATTTCTTCTTGCAACTGCACACAGAGAGGATGTTCTGCTTCTCCCCCAGAAACAGAGTGCTTCTGTGCCCTGCTCTAGAGCCAGCATCTTCGCAGAAGAAAATTAGTCAGTATGCAATGGAGAAGAATGTCTTCAGATAGCAGGAAAGAACAAAAGTTTAATCCAAAAATAGCTTAATTATGCTATAAAATTAGGAAAATTGCATAATATACTTAACCAGTTTCTGTGAAATTGTGGTCTGTCTCCAAGGTCCAAATCTAAATCTTTGAGTGCTAAACCAAAAATGAACAAAGGAAAAGCAAATAAACTATTTAGAACAAAATCAAGGTAAACGATTACATTTACATTATTTAATAGCTCCCTTCCATCATGTTTCTGACTGTTAACATAATTTTATTTTAAAAAGATATCAAAGTTGTAAAGATGCTTTTAAATTCATTTCAATATGAGCAGAGCAAGATTCAAGATCTTCTGATACCCTTTAAGAGAATCTTGAAACCAGACGCAGGCCATTAAGAATATTGTGGTTTCTGTCAGACAGTAGCTGCCATTGCTGCTAATGGTAATAGATGTCGCGGGGAAAAAGAATTGTTATTTTTTAGTAAAGCCAGTGGGGATTTTTTCAATCAGATAATTCTTAGTTGGAAAACACCAGTTTTTAACAGGCACATTCTTTTAGAAAGTTTCTTGGGATTAGTAAAGGATTTCTGTTCAAAGTAGAAAGAGACAAAAACAAAGCAAAGAATAGTTTGATGGAGCACTTCTACAGCATGTGGTGAAGGCCACACTCAATAACCATTTTCTGACTAACCTACTACACTAATGTGACCATAAAGTTCCCATTTCTGTCTCAAGCACTAGCTATTTTGGTGTGTCTTCCTTCTGTTTTCAAGTAAAAAAACCCAACCCAACACTTTTATATTGTTTCCATGATGACTGTGCCTCCACCTGTTACAGTTTTTTAAAAATCTTCTATACAAATAGTCCTCCAATCTCTCCAATAATTAAGCCTGACTAAATATTTTCTGTCTACACTATGAACACCTCAAACCATTTTCCAGCAAATAGTGTCCCACCCCACAAAAACCAAAGACCGTATGTATGTTTACTCAAATAATCCATGTTATTCATGAGCAGACATTTTATAACACAGAGACAAAAGTATTATTCCTGAAAGAATTGCTTCGTAATATGGGATCTACAATAAGGTCAAAAGGAAGCATTTCTGGATGAGTTCCATCACCTGATATTCAGGAAACCATTTTGTATGACACAAAGGATTAGGAAAAATAAGCTGCATTACATTTATTTCGTAATTTTAACATTAATATCTGTAGAAACATTTTATTGTCAGTACAAAAGTTAACAGATTTTAATACTTCTTTTACCCAATTTAAAAAAAAAAAAACAACACACCGCCACAAAAAACAGTGTAATTTGCATTCATACTACATGGCCATGTCAGTGTGAGTGTTCTGAAAGTAAAAACACAAGACTTCCGTAAAAAGATACAAACAACAGTGATACTTAAGCAGAGGCCAGTGCTATACCTACTGTTATGGAATGGATCAGGAAGAAATACCGGAGTCAGCATGAATTAATCCCTTAAAAAGATGATGATATTCCTATGGCAAATTGTCATTATAAACAACTTCTCTCTTTTTAACTTAAGTTACAATAGAGGGATAGTCTAAAAGGCAAAAGATCCAGGCCAGAAGATCTGGAACCTATTACCCAACTCAGGGAAGAGAGCTGTAGTTAATTTGATGCATGTGCAATTCAGGGTAGAAGCTCAGCTCCTTTTAGAGCAGTACGTTCTGCTATGGTTACAGACAAATCCATGTCTTCCCTTACTTTAGGAACCCTCTTTAATATTTTCTTCTTCTTTGTGTGTGTGTGTAATGATTCTGCTTTTTGGCCATGGGAAACATTGTTAAAGAGTTACATTGTTAAAGTGACAGGTATTGAGAATAAAACACTTTCTTGTTAAAGGACTTGGTTTTGATAAGAATAATCATCTGACACTGCAGTATTTAAACACAAATAAATCAAAAGTTTAATTCCCAAAAATTAGTTATATACTGTAAATATTTCTTTTTTTTAAAGATCTGAAAACTAGTAAAGTCTGAGCAATATATCTACTAGTTCTCTGTGCTGCCTGCATAGAAATGCCATTTAAATTACAAAAACACAACAGCCCTATAAACGATTAACTGTTTTGTACATTACCAATTAGTTAATAAATTAATGATATACCATTTTCCCTGAAAGCAAAGTATTTTTCACCTTTGGATGGTGAAAATTAAGAAATTCTGTGTAAGAACAGCATTTAGCAAATAGCTGTTAAAAAAGAGACTAATTTGCTAGGTGGATTGGGACATCCATTTTTAAATCAATACAAAAAATAATTCATTGTAAATATATATAATATATATTTATACATATTTTGAATATATTTACATACATCCAGCACCTATATACTGCATTTGTGCTCTGTAAGTGTGTGCCAACATATATTTTCTCCAAATATTACAAAATAAACAAGAAAGGCAGACTCAAAGTTTGCCTCAAGTCCAACTGGTCCATTGTACAAACAAAGTCTGCTGCAGCTTACAGGAAGCCAGAAAATTGATAGCGACGGGTATCTAGACACAGCTCATAAACATTCTTCTTTGTTGGGAATATTTAAAAGATGAAAATATTGAGATTCTTTATGTAGGTTCTGACTGTTTTCCTCCAACTTGTTGGGCTTTGGTTTTTTTTTTTTTTTTTTT